GGTGACTTGGGACACCAAAAGCCAAACCTTTCCCAAGTGGCGAATCTGAATTAAATAAATAATCTCATTTCGAATATTGTCACTTAAATTGGAAAAACTCCCTCGCGCATCCTACCCCTCGGGGCGGGGCGCGCAAAAAGGAGGTGTGACAGTATGATTTCTTCAACTAAAGGATTTTGAGTAGATTCAGAAAGTTCTTTACTTTTAGAAGAGGGGGTCTTCGGGATAGAACTCCTAATACCAGAAGAAGAAGAAGCAGAACCAGAGGCACCACCACGAACGGATCCTAGGCTACGAAGCCTGCCTCCTCTTCCTCTTCTATGTCTTACAGGGGCATTGGGGAAGCTATCAAGAATTGGGATTCTTTTAGGGTTAGGAATCGGAGATGCCATTGCAGAGAAAAAATGAAGTCAAGGAAAAAGGAGTAGAAGTAAAGAGTAAAGGATCTGTTAAGGGTTTATGAAGAAAAGGACAAAGGGAAAAAGGATATATATGTATATAATAGCAACCGTCAAGCAAAGAAGTGTAATGATGGAAAGCCTATAATAAAGGCAACTATCGCTTCGTGAATATAAGGGATGAATAAACCTTGAAAAAAGGCTGCAGAATTATAAAACCAATCGGAAGGTGACACGTGTGTAGAGCATTAAATAGAAAAGACAACTGGGGTGTCAGTACTGTCATAGCATTGATTACAACAAAAAATTTCCTTTTTGTGAAGGTCCACTTCCCAAATATTTAATGGATAAATAAATGGAAAGTGATGTTAAAATTCCCTTTCTGTGATGTTAAAAGCTCTACTTTCCAAGGTATAATACCTCATACCTTATGCATTTCCATAATTTTTTAGACAGCCTTAAGGTAACACTAAATTCGTTGATCCTTTTTAAATAGGGGATTTTGTCCTTTCGACGACACCTGTTAGTAGCGTGCTAATCTACCCAACATTTGAGAAGGCGAAAGCTCTCAACAAATGGTAAATTGTCAGTTTTTCTTTTAACTTATTTACTCTCCATATGTTAGGTATATGGAACATTTTAAAGGAAGTTTTACAATATAGGAATGACAATATGAAGGCAAGCAAGATAGACATAAGTTTAATGCCAAGTAGACTAATGCAAATAGCTAGAGAAGTCAAAATTACTGATATTATAGACGGCTCAATTGTCAACTTGAAGGTACATTTACCTTCAAAAATTAAGCACAATGTATCCTACATTTATATGTTTACAACATAACAAAATGTCCCTCCTAATTTACGTATAGGACATATACTGTAAGTTCAAATAAAAAATTACTGACATCAACAGTAACCATGACCCATGGTACCATGCTTGCAAGAAATGACACAAGCGAGTAACTGTTATAAAGAGTAGTGCCACTTGTGGCTACTGTAAGATAGAAGATATTGATTATGATGAAAAGTATGATACATGAACATATATATTATCTAGAACAAATAATTGAAGAGTTAATGATCTAATTACTAAATGATCTAATTACTAATGATCTAATTACTAAATTGTTCTTTATATATAGGTTAAAGTTTGATGTTTCTGCGGAAGAACAATATATAAGTATTACGTTGTTTGATGGTGCACGATACTTTTTTAATTGCGATGTCAAAGAGTATGTTGATTCAACATCTGAAAAGGTATAATACCTATTAGTCAAAAGAAACATTCAGGTTGAATAAGTTCTCCATATGTTTTAGCCGATATTTATACTAGTGTATTTGCCTTTTTATAACAATGTAAATTTCCTTAGTTCTGGTTGTTTCCATCTTTCATATTAAACATTAGTAACTTCTTTTCACAATCTTTTCATATTCTTCACCATACTCTATATAAGTGTACAATACGGTATCTTTGTTCCATTGTCCTTTGTAAATTCTTACGGTAAGAAATTTCTTTTTTTCCAAAAGAGTGTACTTCACTCACCGGTATTTGTAACACATGTATATATGTTTCAACTATTTTATGGTGCAAATATTGACTTCTCTTCCGTCCTTTTTGGATCATAGTTAGCAACCTATTATTCTTGATTATGTAATTTCTTGGAAAGTGTAAACTTAAAACATAGTATTAATGCGAATATTGTCATTTTATATTCAACGATGCAATTGTAGACTTTGCTAGGTCCTTTTTGGATCATAGCTAATTGACTACTGACACACTTTCCGCAGAATATGTTTGTTCCGATTTTTTTTAGCATTAATATTGTCAATTTTATATGCAATTAGCTTGTGTTGCAAGTGTAGATTTCCCTTATGTACTTTTTGGATCATAGCTAATTGAACACTTTAGTACTTAGCGCAAAATATGTTTGTTACAGATTATTTAGTATTGTCACAACAAAATTATTATTATGTTTCATATAGGCTTAAAGCAGTCACTCCATGTAGGAAACACATCAAATGATTTATTTGTCCTAATTCTAATGCCTTATTATTTAATATGAGTGTTAAATTCATTATCTACATTAAAACTTAATTTTGATGTTATTATCCTTCTAACAGGTTTCTTGGTAATTACGTTTGAACTTTATTAAGATATTTATATATGTTGTCAGCTAAAGTTGCTCACTTTTCCAATCAAACCACAAGAACATCCTAGAGCCTGGATTACCTGAATATTTCAAGATTAGTAGAATAGTTTAGCTAATTGATATTTTGGCTTTCTTTTCTTTCTTTTTTCTTCATTATTTCTTGTTTTTTAAATGATTTTCCCCATGTTTTGGCTGCTTTCTTCAGTGGCATATTTCACTTAAAAGTTTTGAAGTAATTTTTTTTTGTTTTTCTTTATCAAGAATTCATGTACAAAATAGTTATTGATTCATCTTGATTAGTGACTAAGCTACCCGATTAAAAAAGTGTATTATGCCACTTTTTTATTTGGTCTACTTTAACTTTTTTGTTTTTGTTACTATGTGAGTTTAAGGAAGTATTAAACTACAGAGTGCGTAATAAATATTAGATTTGAATATGATTGTCGTGCTATATTTATACAATTATAAATAATATAATTCAATTTTTTTGTCATTGACAGATGAAAGGGTTCTTGTACGTGTAACAATGATATCAATAAAACCTTTTTGATGTTAGTAATATTAAATATCTCTATTACAAATAACTAAAAATAATTTAGCAGCTTTACACAATGAAATGAATTATGATTTACTAGCCATCATAAGCAAGACCTATGTTGATCGAATTTCTATACAACTTCTACAAGTTACAACTTTCATCTGACAACAGCTTCTTCATATGTATGCGACTGTAAAAGTAAGAAGGCTTCAATTTCTTAAAGACAAAGCAAGAACTTCTAGATGTTAAGTATCCACAACTAAAGCCGACGTTGCTCATATTTAAATGTAAACTACATGTTGTCCAAATATAAAGAGGCAAAGAAAATATCAAATTGAATATTTGGTATGACAATCGTATTTATATAACTAATATTTGTTGTTTAAATAATATCTAATCCTGTTATATTCAATAATTAATTAAGGTAGAGCTTCTATTTCCTTATCGTACATATATTTTAATATTATTTATATTGTTTTAAAATATTTGTGACTAGTCTAGTATGGGATACACATGCAACGCACGTGTCCAGAGACTAGTCTAATATAAATGAAACATACACCAAAACATATGAATTAGTATAGAAAGATATTTGCCAGCTGATACAAGGGGATAAGAAGGCAGTGCTAAAGAAAATGTCGCGATAATCCAATGCTCTCCTTGTGGCAAACTAAAATAGAAAGCAAATAATAAAAGATAAACAACATTTCAATCGACAGAAAAATATTACGAGAAGAAGAGGAAAACAAAAGAAACTACCTAAAAGATGGATCAAAAAGCCAAAATAGCTTCAGTTGATGTTGCTGAAAGAAAAACCAAATCCATTTGAAATTATTTCCTACACAACTACACTTAATAGATGGAGACATCAAAATCATACTTATATCTTTTCTTAGCAAGGACTCACTTTCAGCAACTATTCCAGGATTACGTCCGGGATCATTAGATAGGAATCCAAAGATGAAGAGAGAAACAAAAAATATCACTACTGTGTAAACGAAGAGTTTGAGAGTAAGCATTACACAATCTCCACGATGATTTTTTTGAAAAAAAGTTGTGCTTTTTGACAGCACAACTTTCCATTTACTAATGGAGCTAAGAGCAGTAATAGCTTGCATATCGTTACCCAAGTTGATATCCCACAATCATATTGGGAACAAACTTTTCTATTTTTTATATGTAGGAGACAAACTTTGTGTCGCGTATACCTTTGAATTCTATAGTGGACATGCATTACTCTAAACCACGGCCTCCTCGCTCAACTCACTGAAAAGGGGAAAGAACAAGAATACATGAATTTCTATTGAGATGAAAGTTCAAGCAATACATGAACTAAAAATCTACAAGATGAAGAGGGAGATATATGACAATAATATATGAATTGCAATTGATGAGATGAATTTCCAAAGACAATAAACATATGGCTGACATATATGTGTGTGGTAACCGATTAATATTACATTAAGCTATCAACGTTCTGGAGCAAATATGAAGATGCTTTTATCACCTTTTCTTTTTGTCATCTAACATTCAATTCATCCCAACAAGATTTTCAGCAAAGGAAAAGAATTAACAGAAAAACAAAGAGAAGTAACGAAAAATTAAAAGCTACTTGAAAAGAAAAAAAGAAAAAGAATAACTTACATCTGTTAGAGCACCTTCGTTTGAATCATCACAGGTGTTCCCCATCGATATATATGTTGGGAATATGAGCAATATTTGGCCAGTAATCCCCCTTCTCAAATTCTAGGAGTGGTTCCAGCAATGGGCAGCTGTGAATAACTAGAGTAGAAATGGACGAGGGTATCCCTTTTACTAGAAGAGATTGGAGTTTAGGGCAATCATAGATATACAGCTTAGAGAGGGAGGAGGGCAGCGCTGATTCTGGAATAGATTGGAGTTGATTGCTGTAGCCGATCTCTAGACGTTGAAGCGAGGTGAGGCGTAGAAGACCTTCGGTCGGTAGTGAATGGAGCTCATCATGGCTATTTAACCTAAGCTCAGAAAGAGACGAGGGAAGCCCTTCTTCCAACAGTGACTGAATTTGAGGTAATGTATAAGCATTTAGAGATTCAAGAGAGGTGAGGCTTTTGAGAACTTGGCTGCTTAATGTTTTCAGATTTCTTATCCAAAGAGTTCGAATAGAGCAAGGCAACTCCCAATTTTCAGAAGCAGGAATCTCTTCGTCACTACCATCATGGATGATGCGTAACTCTGTGAGACAGGGGAGTCTCTGTAAACCCCACTCCTTTCGCCCATTCACCAGTTTCTTGCAATACTCAATCTCAAGGACTTCTAAATTGAAGGGCAATCCTCCTTCAGGAAAGTACTCTATTTCTAGACACTCCTGCAGTATCAGTTCCTTAAGAGATGGAAGAAGTTCTGGCAGCGACTTCAGCTTCTTGCAGTTCCTAATATACAAAGTACGCAACAATGTTGTTTGAGCCGCCGAAAATATTTCAAGATTCTCACATTCACAAATTTTGAGATCTTCAGTCCCATTGGGAATCAAAAGCATGGTAAGGCCGTCGCAACTACTTACACTCAAATAGCGTGCTTGTGGGACCAACTCAGGTGATATCTCATTTATCGAATCACATCCTTCCAGTTTCAATTTCTCCAGAAACATGTTACTTCCTATAGAAATCATATCACCAACTGATGACTCCAATTTCAATTTACCACAATGCTTTATCTTTATTTCCTTCAAGGTATTTGGCAAACTGCTAAAAAGCAAGGAGGTAAGAGACTGACAATCACTTATCCATAATTCAACTATCTGTTTCATTCCCTGAAGTTGAGACAAAAACGGTTCAGCATCATCAAAAAGAACTCCAACCTTAGGAGAACCTTCAACTTCAAACTTTTTAAGACTTGAAAGTTGGATAGGTCTCTCCAGATTGAGTTCCGGACAATTTGAAATTATCAAACTTGTCAGAGAACAAAGATTTTCAGGCAACTTTCCAATCAACTTGGGACACTTTTTAATTGAAAGATTCTGAAGTATAGGAAACTCTTCTCCATTCCCTAGTACGTGCCACTTCTTCCACTCCTGCATCTCGTCAAACTCAAGTCGCTCAAGAGAGTTGAAAGGCTTTTTGGAGGACGAACTACCATAGAATTCGTTAGTCACCTCTGTTATTCGATCCATCCCTCTGATGGTAAGTAATTTCAGAGAAGGAAGTTGGCCTAATGCTGGCAAGGAATAACAGTCGTTGCAGTTGCTTAGAGACAATTCCACCAGCTCAGAAAATGAATGATCAGCTAGCCAATTTGGAAAGTTTGTCCCTCTATATCGGTTGATCTTGAGTTCTTTAACGTTTGGATTTGGATGCAACTCACAAAGTATGTCTCTTTCATTTTGTGAACTGTCCGCAATACTTACACTCCACTCCAATGATAACTTTTCAATATGTTCCTTTCCTCTCATGTTTGCCTTCAAAGCTTCCCTTCTGTTGGCCACATTTTGCAACTCTAGAATAGATAGAGATCCATACAAGTTATGCAGTTCACCCAAATCATCCATTCTCGAACCACTGCGATCACCTAGAAGAAATTTAGCTCCCAACAACACATGGAGGCTTTTCAACTTGCTCGGATGTAGCAGCGTATTCAAGCGAGGAGTGTCGCTAATATCAAGGTGACGCAAGTTGATCAACTTTTCCATCTGCTGCGGTAAATCCTCAAGGAATTTACAACATGATAAGAGAAGTGTCTCTAAGTTATAGAGTACACAAATGGAATCTGGTAACTGCTCTAACTGTGTCCAAGAAAGGTCCAAAAATTTTAGGAGCTTTAATTCAATAAACAAGACATTCGGCAACTCCACAATATCATAACGAGACAATGATAGTGCCCTTAAGGATGTTAGTCTTGGCAATATATTATGCAACACCCTCTTGCTTAGAGAAACTGGATAAAATGGCTTAATGTAGATTGGAAGCAACGTCCTCAACTGCTCCAATTTGTAGAGAGGTTTCAACTTTTCAAAGTCACCATAGCCCATTGAATAGGACACGTGTCGACTTCGTTCCAATATATGAGACTCTTGGTTATCTTCCAATCTGGTACAAAGTTGTGAAGATGCAATTTGGGCCAAATCATTCACAAGGTCGTGCATTAAGAATTCCTCTGCATTAATTTTAGAAGAATTTGGGACCCTTTCGAAAAGTGATCTTGATTGCAACTCGAGAAAGAATAGATTGCCTAATTCTTCAATTGTTACATTTTTTTGCAACCCCTGTACTAGACCATTAGCAATCCACAACTGAATGACTTCTTTTTTCCGAAATGGATAGTCTTTTGGAAATATTGCACAGTAGGAAAAGCATGGCTTCAAATGCACGGGAAGATCATTGTAGCTCAACATCAACGCGGGTAATATGCTTTCGTCTTGTAGCTCCCATATTTCACTTCTCAAAATGTGTCTCCACTCTTCAATATTTGACTTGGACCGTAACAAACCAGCAAGTGTCTTTAGTGCTAAGGGCAAACCTTTGCACTTAGCTGAGATCTGTTTCCCGACTTCTACATGTTCTAGACGTTCCTTAGGATCCATGTTGTCAAATGCATGTCTTTTGAATAAAGACCAAGAGACATCAGTGGACAAAGTATCCATGCTAATTTTCTCATTACCCATCATCATTGCAACACTTTTCTTACGTGTCGTCACAATGATCGTACTTCCTGCATCTCCTTGAACAAAAAGA